CATGATTAGTTCATGTAAGTAAATGCATTAACTAATGAACCTTATTATAAAGTGTTACCAGAAAATACATATACAGTGGTGTGAAAAAGTATTTGCCTCTTAATCTTTTTTTTTTTTTTAATTTCTTTGCGATTGTATCACATTTTAATGTTTCAGATCGTTCATTCATTTGGCTTAGTCCCTTATTTATCAGGGGGTTGCAAAACCGGAATGAACCGTGAACTATATGCGGGTATATGCAAAGTATGCTAAAGGACTTTTAATTTGCCAGTAACCTGGGTTAAGCGCTTCTGGCGCATTTAAGGTCTGTTTTCTTTAAAAATCAGCAATCTCCACTGGCTGAGTGATATCTGATATAAAGTGGGTCTCGGATTGTACAAGAAGCACTGCATTAACTTACATTTTTTCCACCATGTCTTTATAATATGAGCTTTTATTTTACCCCAGTATATTCAATGGAGCTTCTGCGCTAACTTGCCGATTCTGAAGGGTGCATGCGGGTAAACGGTATTATGTCTCATTTTATGCTTGAGAAACTAAATGAATGCCAAAGTCCATTTAACTGATTGCATTTTAAATACATCTCAACATCGATGCTGTAAACGGAACCGTATAAAATGGAAAAAAGTCATAATAACCAGTCACCGGAAGTTTTTCAGTATGGGAAGAAACACTAGCTCGACGTATACCCTATTCCAGCATATGTTTTACACAGCGGATGCCCTTAAAGCCGCAACCCAGCACCGGGAAACACTCAACCACACACTCTCATACACTACGGCCAATTTTGTTTACCCAATTCACCTATAGCGAATGTTTTTGGACTGTGGGGGAAACTGGAGCACCCGAAGGACACTCACGCCAACACAGGGAAAACATGCAATCTCCACACAGAAAAGCCAACAGGCCCAGCAACTGAGAAACCGTGCCACCAGTTTCAGATAGTCAACTAATTGAAATGTCAAAGATAACGGAAGGAAACACATCACACCATTTTTAAATGACGGTTTTGCTTTGGAGGGAAAACAAACTACAAAACTACATAGTAGTGTGTAAAAAAAAAAAAAAAAGTTTTCACCCTGTTAAAATATAACTCTGGTTTATCACACCTGAGTTTAATTTCTCTAGCCATGCCCAGATTTGATTATTGCCACACCTGTTAGCAATTAAGAAATTACTTAAATAGGACCTGCCTGACAAAGTGAAGTAGACCGAAAGATCCTCAAAAAGCAAGACGTTATATCGAGATCTAAAGAAATCAGTAGGGGATTTTCACACAACTGTAGGAAATAATCTCGCTGACAGAGAAAAAACTTACATTTGTTATATATATTTATATATTTATGAAGCGTTTAGATGAAAAAACCTCTAAATGCCGTCTGAAATTTTCCTCTAAAATAAGTATTTTTATCAGTCTCGTGTGTATGTTTAGTAATATTATGGCAAAGAATAGTCATGTGATATTTGAGAAAATGTAGGGTCACTAAATTTATCAATTCTTTTACTGTTTTTATTGGTTATTTATTAGCATTTTTACAGAACTCTACCTTTAAGTAAGTCTCATGGTACTTGCACTGTATTGTGACTTATGAAAAATAAAAAAACAAGTATGCAAATAATAAATAAATAATATACAAATAGTGAGAGCAATTTAACTTAATTAATGAACATTTATCTTAATATAGTGCTATTAATTTGATATTAAATTATGAATAATATATATTTATCTCCATGACTTGTTGGAAAATTTCAACAAGGGTGTCGCACCAAAGGACTTGTAAAATTAGGCCAGGGGTATTTATTAATTAATTATACGCTTTTATTTTTTATTTGTAAGATTTGTATGTGCCTTTTAAGTTTTGGCTCAAAAATATTTAAAGACTGAAATAAAAAACAAGAGGTCCACGAAAAACAAAGAAATATTAAAATAATTTAAATGATGACATTACTAATTATATTCATTTTGTCAAGTGTCACAGTGAAAATGCAATGTCACGTCAACAACCCACATTTAGTGGAAATGTTATTGATATGATGGTATCAATTTCATCATGCCATTCCAAGCACCCAAGATCTTCATCTTCCAATCTTGTTTAAAGTACTAAAGAAAAGTACTAAAAACATAACCAAAACAGTGTCCTCAGTGGTAAAATTATAAACTATTCTGATTGGAGTGACACAAGGATTAAATAACAGTTTTTTTTCTAAATGACAATCTCAATCTCAGATCTTTCTGTTATTCGTTTGTTTTGGCATATTTTTTTGTGGAGCGGATGGCCATCCATCCACAACCCAGTACTGTGCTGGGAAACACCCATACACACTCTCTTATTAATACACACACTACTGTCTTTGGACTGTGGGGGGAACCAGGGTACCTGGAGAAAACACGGGGAGAACATGCAAACTCTACACAGAAATGCCAACTGGCACACATATATATGCGTTGGTCGTTACTATATTATAAGATCACACACACACACACACTCACACTCACACACACACACACACACACACACACACACACACACACACACACACACACACACACACACACTCACACACACACACAAATAGAAAATGACCAACACAGTAATCAAATTTCTGCTGATTGTCAGTTTAGGAAATGAATTAATTGCCTTTTGGGACTTTTATGACTGCTCTCTTTATTATTATTATTATTATTATTTCCTTTATTTAGCCAGGAGATCACATTGAGACAGTACTGGTCAAGCAGGCAGCACATAAAGTTTCATATAAAAATCACAAACAATACCACAAAATTACAAAATCACCATTCTTAAAAACATCAGCTCATAAAAAACAATTACAGGTGTCCTTTAAGATGTTGTATAAAAGATGTTTAATAGTACTCAGAGTCGGAAGAGTGTCAAGATTGAGCTTATTTTGCAGGTCATTCCAAGCTCTGGAAGCGTAAACGGAAAAATCACGTTTGCCGAGTTCTGATAGTACCCTTGGAACTGTTAGACGAACACATGAACCAGATCTAGTGTGTTGGTTGTTGGTGTAAAATGTTAATAAATTAAAAATATAGGATGGTAATTTACCTAAAAGAGCCTTTAAAATAAATACTGTAAGTACAGATGTAATTTTCCTCCTTTGATATAAAGATAACCTGTCTAAGGAATCACACAAAATGCAGTGATGCGTCCGTGAGTCTGCACCTGTGACAAAGCGTATTGCTGCATGATAAACAGAATCTAATTTTCTTAGTAGGGTAGCGGCTGCGTGCATATAAAGATGATCACCATAATCCATTATAGACAGAAATGTAGTCTCTACTAATTTTTTGCAGGCTTTATAAGGAAAAAAAAATTCTTGACCGGTATAAAAAAACCTAACTTTGGCCTAAGCTTTTTTAAGTAACTTGTCAATGTGTATATCAGAGGCTAATCTGTCATCAATCCAAATACCTAGATATTTATAAAAGCTAACTCTTCCTATTTGAACACTGTTCAGAGTTGTTATTGTATGATATGTTAACTTAGTGTGGCCACGGCTAAAAAACATGTATTTAGTCTTTTTTAAATTTAAAAACAATTTAAACTTTTTTTTTTACTTTTATAGTTGGATATTTAACTCTGCAGTTTAACATAGTGACTTTTATTGACATTTTAGTAGTTTGAAATAATAACCAAATATGTAAAATAACAGAAAAACTACTTGCAGTTTATTACCAGGTGTTTGTACCATAAATTACACCACCAAACCAAACAATATATCACTTTAATTGAATTAAAAACGTGTCAATTACTTTTAAAAACTTTTCAACATCAAACGTTGTTGAAGGAATGTTCAAGGTTCCATAATGCAATTCATAAACATACATAAAACCCATGAATCACAAAATATGGAAAATTGTTTATTTACAGATTTATAATTTAATTACTGTAAAATATATTGTCTACATTCTTAATTTTTAAATAAAAAATAGTTTATTAAATTTGTTAATTTTTAAGTTGAAGCGAAAATGTTAATTGATTGTTTGTTGAAATTACAAGGATAATAATAAAATAAAAGCATGAACATTCAAATGCAATTAGGTTGACAAAAGTAAATACTAATATTTAGTGTAGTTTTTATAGTTGTTACTAAACTTCATAGCGTTAGAAACTGCCATAAAATTATTTAAAAGCTTTATTATTGTGTCTAAAATACACTCTTATATGTTGATATAAACTTTAACTTAAATTATGATGCTAAAGAAATATTTTGTGAAAAAATTGTAGCATATGTGTAGTAAACATGCCACAGTCAACCACTGTTGGACACACTGCTGGACATATTTTTTTGAATAAGATTTAAATCCAGCAGATTTGACTAACTGGAGCCAGTAGAGATTAGCATTGCCTCATCGTTACTTCTGGACAGTTAAGGATTAAAGAATGATGAAATACTACAAAACTTTTGGGAAGAATCCCCTAGCAGATGTCCCTTACAATCTGTGCTTTATCGAAAAGTAATATGATACATTTTGATTTGAAGAGATAGTTACACATAAAAAATGTAAATCTGATGTTAGCATTTCTTCATATCTTGTGTCATGTGTGGTTCAAAGTGAGCAGTGCCCTTTTGGATCACTTACCATAACCAAAATGGGTGTTGACCCATGAAATTAATATTGATTCCCCAAATTAATAAAACACTTACCAGTAGCCAAGTTATAAAACCACACGGAAAAGGTGGTGCAGTGCTAACTAAAATCTTGACTCATCAATTAAGACAGAAATTTTCAAAAGAGAAGAAACAAGAGCAAAAGAGACAGAGATAGATGGAGAGTTATGACTCAACCTCAATCCTTTTGTTTATTCACTTCTCTCCACACAGTTGTGGATGGAGCTTACACTGAGTGTGACTGATTGATCCACCCCTAGATGGACAGTAAAGATTAAGAGGATGACAAATAGGCACTTGCTTACACAGCGCTTGCTGCTAATCCCTTTGTCTTCCTTTAGGGAGCCCACAGTAGCCTCAGAGTCACTCACTGTCCGGCATCGCTAGACATACCAGGAGGAGGTGACAAACCTCCCTGCACTTTACAAAAGCTACAGACAAGAAGTTCTGCAGGACAGAGATACCCAGAGTCAAGAGCGGACCATCAGGATAGAGACTAAAGGATCTTGAAGAAACATCTAACAAGGAGTGACGGATCTCTTTGAGGACCCTCTAGGATTCTAGTTAACCTATCTGGGACACATATTCTAGCCTCAAAACTTTTGAGGGTGCACTTCAGGAAGAGTCTGCGTAAACTTTTACACCACCTTCAATGGAGGATCCGATGTCAGAAATGTCCATGGTACCGTTTTCATCACCAACAGAATCTTCCAGAAGCAACTCCACAGATGACAGCCAAGACGGTGAGCAACTTGTAAATTTACTTGTAAATCACTTTTAAAAGTTTCAGACAGCATAGGGTGACATATTAAGTCTGGTGATTATCAGATTCTAATCATTGGATTGGTAGTAAAACAAAAATTGTTTCTTGTGTTCCTCTAGGTAAAAGCCCAGCTCCTGGAAAGGTCCTGAACACGGGACTTCTTTGTAAAGTGTGTTCTGACACCAGCAGTGGGAAACACTATGGAATATACGCTTGCAACGGTTGCAGTGGCTTTTTCAAGCGCAGTGTGAGGCGCAGACTCATCTACAGGTGAGAAAACAACTTGCGTATTCAAAGTTAGAAGCAAGGTAGAAAATTCTGTGCAATAAATTAATATTTTGTTATTGAACAATTGCAGATGTCAGGCTGGTACAGGCATGTGTCCTGTGGATAAAGCCCATCGAAATCAGTGCCAGGCCTGTCGCTTAAAGAAATGCCTTCAAGCTGGAATGAACAAGGATGGTGAGTCAACTTCTTGTAGTGTTTCTTGTAGTTTCTGCCCTTATTGTCTTCACTTTCTTAACCGTTCCGTTCAATCTTCTCAGCTGTTCAGAATGAACGTCAGCCCCGCAGCACTGCACAAGTCAGATTAGATGCATTGGATGTGGACAAGGACAAGGAGCACCTCGCCACAACCTTGGAGCCCACCTCCTCATCCACCTGCTCTGTCATCAGCCGCCCACTGCTGGGCTCCTCCATCAGCTCCAGCATCAGCTCCACAGATGGTAGCCAACACTCCAACAGTCCCAAAAATGGACACCGCTTTATGGCCAGTCTGATGACAGCTGAGACTTGCGCAAAGCTGGAACCAGAGGATGGTGAGGAACATGACCATTGGTCAACCAGCATTACCAGCAAAGTTTTGTTAGTAAAAATGAGTTATAATGAGTTATATCTTTACAATTAGTGTAATTTCAGCAACTATGAATTACACTAACCTTAAACCGGAACAACATTCCAATCAGACAAGTTTACAATTTTTTTAAGTTTAGGCTTAAAGTTATTATTGTTACTATTAATCCCCCCCTTATTTTGGGAATAATTTACAGTTAGAGTTAGGTTTAGGTGTAGGGATTAGGTATGGATTACATTTTCAACCAGAATGATGTTCCAGGATCAACTTAAATGTTTATCCAGGATCGCATCCTACTTGGCAAAATCACACCCACCTATCTTTATAGTACCTTAGATGCTCAAAGGTATTTTTTTATAGTACCTTTTATAGTACCTTAGATGCTCAAAGGTTTTCTTGGAGCTCTACCTTTCTGAAAAATCCCAACTACAATTCTGATCAAACACATTTAATCAGCTCATCTTAAGGGGCACTTTACATTTATAGACAGGTGTGTTGGAATAGGATTGGAACTAAGCTTTGCAGGTCCTCTGAAACAAGACTGGGCAGCTCTACTTTAGGAGTACATCAGCTGGGGTAATACTTTTAAGTAGACAACTTACTTTCAGAGTAAGGGTACTGTAAATGCTACTACTGATATTTACTCTTGAGTGGTAGATATGGCACAATGCTATAGCTTTTAAGGTTCTATCCTAGTTTTTTGGCAGTTCATAAATAGGTAGTGATGAACCAGGGTAGCGAAATTTCCTTGTTAGGTTGTTTAACTTGATCCCTCTCAGAAATGAGGATGTACCTTTCAGTTATTAAAATTTACCCTGAAAGTGTTTCATGGAAATGATTGGCTACCTATATTAGATCGGTAGTAGATTAGATTAGACCTATAGTAGATTTTCAATTCTGGCCCTTGAGACTCCCAGTACTGCACATTTTGTATTTCTTCTTCATTCGATGCACCTGATTTAGCTCATTAGAAGGGATCTCCCATGAACTGATCCTTGTGTGACAAATAAGAGCGACAAACGAAATGTGCAGTACTGGGAGTCTTAAGGGCCAGAATTGAAAAGCAATGTCCTTGACTAACATTAAAAGGGCTTAAATCAACTGAAAAGGATGTTAATGCTGGTCTGAGCCGACCTTTTTTATCATTCTCAAAACTCTTTATCCACAGTTCATCAATTGAATATTTTGTATGTATCTGTGTTTACAGTGGATGAGAACATTGATGTGACCAGTAATGAACCTGAAAGGAGTTCTCCGATGTACGGCAGCGCTCTCTACCCCTCACGTGAACCCGAGAGTGTATATGAGACCTCAGCTCGTCTTCTCTTTATGTCTGTTAAATGGGCCAAGAACCTGCCAGTATTTTCACATCTACCTTTCAGAGACCAGGTGAGAGACTCAGATGTACTAACATCCCCTACTCTGCTAACATCCCCTACACTGTTAAACTCCGGATGAGTGTCTAAATATGCAGTATAGAATAGACAAAGAAAGTATTGTTTTTGGCTGTTTTGCTGTTTAAAAATATGAAATATTGTTGTAATGGTCTTAGCAATTTTTAACCCGACGTCCTTTATGATTATAGGTGATTCTGCTTGAGGAAGCATGGAGCGAGCTGTTTCTTCTATGTGCAATTCAGTGGTCTCTACCTCTGGACAACTGCCCTCTGCTGTCTCTGCCTGACCTCTCACCCACAGGACAGGGAAAGGGAAGCCCCTCTGCCTCAGATGTGAGGGTTCTGCAAGAGGTGTTTAGCCGGTTCAAGCCCTTGCAAGTGGATCCAACCGAGTTTGCCTGCTTGAAAGCCATTGTTTTGTTCAAACCAGGTACATTTTGGCTTCTTTTTACCACAAGGGGGCATAAGTGATGGCATCCAGTACATGGCTAAACTAGCCTGGAATAGATATTATTTTAATTAAGTTATTCTGTTACAGAAACACGAGGACTTAAAGACCCCGAACAGGTAGAGAACCTACAAGATCAGTCCCAAGTACTGCTTGCTCAACATATTCACACACTTTACCCCAGTCAAGTTGCCAGGTGAGTGAATATACACACATTTGCATTAGGAAGTCAACACTATTCATGAGAGAAGGTTGAACTAACACAGATTATGTTTTTCTTAGGTTTGGGAGACTATTACTTCTCCTTCCCTCCCTTCACTTTGTGAGCTCAGAGCGAATCGAGCATCTTTTTTTCCAGAGAACAATCGGGAACACACCCATGGAGAAACTCTTGTGTGACATGTTCAAAAACTGAGGAGCTTTTTCTGAAAGACTTGTTTAGAGGAATGAAAACCTCTTGAATTCAGGGGCTTTGCTTTACTGCCATGCTAGTTGCTATGCTTTTTATCTGTGTGAATGCTACGATAAACACACATGTATATATGCTTTTTTATTATTTTTGCATAGGTTGCTTATTTTGTCTCATTATGTGTCATCTATTTTTATTTGTCCTACTGTAGAGATTTTTTTTAATATCTGTAATATTGCCCATAAGTCTATGCATCTCCATTATGTGGAATCTCAGATACTTGGCACAGCCTGTTTATGTATTTCATTTTGAGAAAAATGCCTTCCAAGCGCATTATAATGCAAGTTTACTTAGAATATGTTTGATGATCAGTTTGATATCAACATCTGAAAGGATTGATAAACAAACACCCTTCTTAAAGAGGGCACTTTTGGTAAAAGTTGAAAGATATGCCTCATATTTGTAGGACTTGTAAGAAATAAAATGTATTATTGGTTATTTTTGTATTGTTTTATCTATCTATCTATCTATCTATCTATCTATCTATCTATCTATCTATCTATCTATCTATCTATCTATCTATCTATCTATCTATCTATCTATCTATCTATCTATCTATTCATCCATCCATCCATCCATCCAGCTAGCTATCAAACAGTTTTTCTCACTGTGAACCATTTAAGTACCCTAATGCACATTTTAAGAATATGTATTTTGCTTGACACAGAAAATAATATCATTTTCCATTTTCATAAATAATAATAATCATTTTAATGATAATTTTTAAAGGAGTTACCCTTCAAATAAAAATTTCCTCACCATTACTCTCCTTCATGTGATCTCCAATCACCCTTTATGAACTTCTTTTTTCCACTGAACACAAAATATTTTTTAATAGGCTATATCAGGGGTGTCAAACTCAATTCCTGGAGGGCCGAAGCCCTGCACAGTTTAGTTCCAACCCTGCTCCAACACACTTACCTGTAGGTTTCAAATAAGCCTGAAGGACTCAATTAGTTTGATCAGGTGTGTTTAATTAAGGTTGGAACTAAACTGTGCAGAGCTGCGGCCCTTTTGGAACTGAGTTTGACACCTATGGGCTATACCATAGCTTATAATATTAGAGATAAAAATAAAATACCATGGCAATGCAGTGGTGCAGTAGGTAGTGCTGTCACCTCACACCAAGAAGGTCGCTGGGTTGCTGGTTCGATCTTCAGCTCAGTTGACAATTCTGTGTGGAATTTGCATGTTCTCCCTGCCTTCGCGTGAGATTCCTGTTTCCATGTGCTCCGGTTTCCCTCACAGTCCAAAGACATGCCGTACAGGTGAATTGAGTAGGCTAAATTGTCCGTAGTGTATGAGTGTGTGTGTGAATGTGTGTGTGGATGATTCCCAGAGATGGGTTTTGGCTGGAAGTTGCTGTGTAAAAACTTGCTGGATAAGTTGGCGGTTCATTCCGCTGTGGCGACTCCGGATTAATAAAGGGACTAAGCCGACAAGAAAATGAATGAATGAATAAATTACCAAGGAAGTCATTGGCATTGCCTTGTGTTCGTCAGAATAAAGGAACTGAAAATAGAACAATTAAGTGAAGGGCAAGGAAAAAAGGTGACAAGGAGCACAGCTTTAGCCAAAAAGGCATAACGGCTAATGCTAACACTTCCGGTCTGCCAATAAACTACATGAAAGAAGACCATGAGGCTGTTTTTTTATTTTATTCTATGGATGTTGATATAGTTGAAACATCTATTCTAAATATATCTTTAAAATATTCACTTTACATTATGTCTTTATGTTGCAGACTCTTTTTTTGTTGTCACTTCACTTGTGCGATAGCCTATGTGAGTCGAAAGTCCAGAAGACTGTTATAAAATGCTGGCGATGACATTTATGCCCTTATATGATTGGATGCGGTGTTTAAGGAAGTCATTATACTTTATAACACAATGCTTTTCATGTCAGGTTAATAAGAAAATCTCTGTGGAGGCTCATCGCAGAATATTCATTTTGGCCCATTTTGGGTATGTGCACCCAAAAATTAAAAAAAGTGGTGGAAAGAGTAGCCTACTGAAAGATTATACTCATGTAAAAGTACCATTACAAAAAATGTAGTGCAAGTAAAGTAAAAGTATCTGTTGTAAATATAACTCAAAGTATGAGTAAAAAGTAGAGCTTTCCAGAGTAAAACGAGTAGTAAATATTACGCTGTAAAAGCTGATGAATTTCATTGTAATTTGTGCATGTGTCTGTAAACATAATAGTGCATCGAGTTATTGCCCAGCAGGTACACAACGTCATAAGACGTTAATATTAGGTTTGATTTAGGTTGTGATGTCAAGTGACCAAAATTAAATGTCTAGACAGCATCTAAGGACAATGTTATTTTTATGTCTAATAAAGATGTCAATTGACGTTAATATTTGGTTGATTTTAAGTCGTGTTAGAAGGTAACAAATATCAACACGGAACCAACATCTTAAACCAACGTCATATTGACCTCAAATACTTACATTTATTTGTCAGGTATGACAACCAAAATCCAATATCTGATAGATGTCATATTGGTAACGTCCACACAACGTCAAGCTGTTACAGTATGTCATTAGACGTTGGCATTTGGTTGATTTTTAGGTTGGGACATTGACGTCGAACTGACATTAGGTTCTGACGTCAACTCGATTTTCATTTTCAAACAAAAAATAACATCCCCACGACGCTGGGGTACAATGTCAATCTGACGGTATGTTGACATCCTGTGCCTGCCTTTGAGGCCACTTCGGTCATCATATAGTAAACGTATCATACGTCATCTTCTCACCAGTGACATGCATCTCAACAGTCTCTGGATCAATCCATGTAAAGATTTGGGACATCTTCTTGGACACTTTTAGTGCTTCCAAAGTACTAAATTGTCCAATGTCTTTCTTAAGGTAGTTCATGCGATTTATCTTTTATGTGTGATTTGATTAGACAGGAATCACAGGACTGATTTTTCTTATCCCTATATAAGTAGTCACTGCATGTTGAAGGTAAGTAGTGGAGTAACGATACTGCAGTAAAAATGTACTCAAGGAAAGGTAAAAGTGCATTTTTAAAACTACTTAGAAAACTATGATTCCTTAGAAAAACTACTGAAATACAGTAGTTTGAGTATTTGTATTTGTTACACCACTGACAGTAAGTAAATTTTCATTTTTTTGGTGAAATATTCCTTTACAACCCTCCAACCACTATGCAGGTGACCTCCTTTACTTAAGAGGGCGCCATTTGACTCGTTTTAGTTCAATCAAATGACGTAAGTTTATGCGACGCAAAACGCGGAAGTGCATTTTGTTTTGACTCTCCTGGCATGAATTGAGCTCAAAATAGCGTTTTTCCACATGAATATAGGATTATATTCCTCACGGGAAAGCACGATATATCCAGTCCAGGCATGAGTCTATTCGGGAAATCTTCGGGTTATGAATATCAGTGTCTGTCGCAGGGAGAGAGCGGTTATGGTGAAACTCCTGGACTGTTTTCATCTCATTCTCCATTTAATAACAGTCATCATGATCACAGAGGACACTCTTTTGATTATGTGCCTAAAGTCCATCAAAACGACTACACAGGTATTCACTAGTAGTTGTCAGTATTACAGTGCACATATTGATTGTGTAAATATGAAGTTAAAGTAGTAAAACACTGTATTATAACTTATATCAAATGTAATAGCAGTGTAAAAAGAATATTTAGTTATTTATATACAATATATTACTCTAATTATCTCAGGTGTCAGAGATTGATTTCAGTGATCCAAATAGCACTGTCAGACAATAAGTTACCACCCCTGATTTTGATTAAACCCCCCCCCCCCCCCCAAAAAAAAATGATGACACTTAAATCCGATTTGCATAATAATTTGGAACTTAATACATTTACATGTATATTAATTTGTACAGTATGTCATGTTTTAGAACAGCTTAGCTAAAGTCAAAAGCCAAACATTTTCTAATGACAGAGTTTAATTTTTTTGGGATAATAATGCACAAATTACAGTGTTAATAATTCTGTAATTATAAGTTACAGTGCCCAACTAACATTATACAGAATATGAGATGGTACAAAATTTTTGATTAGTATTTGGTTAAGTACATATCAGTGGCTAACTCTTATTGAATCTTTTAGTATAGTTGACTGATGTCATTTCTGTAAATTGGAAACACTGCTTCAACTTATTATATACGTGTATATAAATTTAACAAATGTTATATTCTAAATAAATAAAAATGCAAAGAACATACACAATTTAACGATTTACATGCTTAATTGCGATATTTCTGTGTTTTTCATTTCAGATAAATCTCAAGGATTGTTATCTTGGCTTTGCAACTTGATCGTAACATTTTTGGTTTTCTTGTTTACCTTTGTTACTTTTCCCATATCTGGATGGTTTGTTCTTAAGGTTAGTTCTAAGTACATTATTAGAACTGTTCTGATCTTCTTTGTTAAGCACAAATTAAATGGCCACTTTTTTTTTTCAGGTTGTACCAAACTATGAGAGGGTAGTTGTGTTCCGCCTGGGCCGGATCCGTCCTCCTAAAGGTCCAGGAGTGGTTCTGATCCTGCCCTTCATTGATCAGTGGCAGAGAGTTGACCTGCGGACCAGAGCTTTTAACATCCCTCCCTGCAAGGTACAATAAAGTCCTGCACCATTACAGTTTGGATGAAATTAAAACTTATAGTGCATAGTATGACTGCTTGGTAGGGCTGGGCGATTAATCGAAATTAAATTGCAAACAAGGTCAAGCAAAGCTGCGATTGTCACGCACATTGTTTCAGGGAGGCACGATATTATCTAGTAAATCTCCTCTAAAGGCCTGAGGGTGATATCACGCGGTACCTCTGAATACACACAAATAGTGTTGGGCAATGTACTTTTCAGATTGCCATATCGTCCCCCTGTGAGATCGCGATACACAATACTATCGCATAGGGGCACAATAGTGTTATGTTTACTTATTTGTTTATTTATTTAACCATTTCTAAAGGTATTTACCTTTTGCCTGTTTTATTTATTTATTTTTACTTATTTAATAATCTACTTTATCTTGAAAAATAATTCAAACCAATGCAAATTACTGTTCTCATACAGCTAAATAGGCAAAATAATTTATTTCAAACTCGATGCAACAGTGCGGCACGGGACAAGATGGTGACTTCTTGTCCATGCCATTATCAGTGGGAATGCCGCAAAATGGATCTAATATAATTGGATTAAAGGCAAATGAAATGCTATTTATTTACGACGGGAGAAACATCGACACATTAAGGTCCTTTCAGACGGAAGGACTTGCCGACCGCAGACTCGTCGCGAGTGCGACGTGGTTTCAGGTCTGATCATCATCACAAAAGTCATCAAACTGTCACATTTGTGTTTGCTAAAATCTAACACAATGTTGCGCTTTGGGATATGTGTTTATTGTTTTCTAATAAGAGAAATAGTTTCATTTTAGACTGGCTATTTTTTGACTGTAGGCCTACATATGAAACTTCACTGAGCTCAGTAAAATTTTCTTTAATTAGTTATTAATAATCTGTTCAATAATTCCTTAAAGCCAAAACGAATGGCAAAATGCAGGTTGTAATTTAGTTTAATGTATATAGGCTAGTTTAAATAAACTAATAAAATCTACATGCATAGCCTATAAATCAGTGGTTTTAAAACTGTGGTACGTGTACCACTAGTGGTACGTGGGCTTCCTTCTAGTGGTACGCGGAGGAATGAAATATGTCATTAACATGCTACATATATTTCAAAATTTATCAAAAATTATGTATATAATATGCCATATATGACTTATAGCCTATATTTCTGAGGTAATTTGCCACGTTTTTTTTAGCTGTGCAGAGTTGAAACTGCTTTACTGGGCCTATCACGCTACTGTATTTCAATACTGCTCATTTTGGTGGTACTTGGAGAGAATTTTTTTCTGAGGTGGTACTTAATGAAAAAAGTTTGAGAACCACTGCTATAAATAAATAAAGGCTTAGCAGTTTAAAATTACCAATGCGCATGTTTGTGTTTATCATTCCATTGAGTTAAACACAAATAAGACACACATATTCCATGTATTTAAATAAGCAGTCAAAGCATGCACTGAAAAAATAGGCCATATACCACCTTAAAACGTAAAAGGCTTTTAATAATGGATATAAATGAAAGATTAATAACTTAATAATAAATAAATAATAGATAAATATAGCAAGAGAGAAACTTGCAAGAGTGCTGTTTCAAATGACCAATAATTGTGTATTCCAGAACATTTCAGCATAGTTTCTTCATTTTCTTTTTCATTTGTTTCAATTTTTACAAATAGCTTTATTTAACTTGTTTGTTAATTAAGGGTGCTTTCACACCTGTAAATCGATTCAGTTGTTCCGAAACAGAGATTACAAATGTTACATTGTTGCTCTTTGCTCTTGGAGCGGTTCGCTTTCACACTGCAAAGCTTCTAATCGGACCAAAAGAGCTAAAACAAATCACGTGCGAGTAAACTATCCTCACATTGGTCAGAGTGTCAGGGTTTATTTTGCAGCGCCCCGCTGTAAGCTGTCAGGAGAGGTGGTGGTTTGGTGGTGATTGACAGGATGCGCGCGCAACGTGTCTGAGGAGACGATGCCTATTTGAGGACCGGGAGGGAGACGCGAGATTACCGGGAGATCATCACTCGTTTGCGGGCATCCGGAGACTCGCGAAACTTCCCGCCCTGCTCATAATTCTCTATTCATATAGCCGTAAGCCTATTACATATCCATAAAACACTGTGATATAACCGCGCTCGGATCGGATGGCTTTCCCACTGCAATCGAACCGCTCCAGGGTTCGTTTCAATCGAGCCGAGACCACCTCATTCAAGCGATCTCGGAGCGATTACTTTGGCGCGGAACAGAGCGCGATTGCCCTGTTAACATATGCTAATCGAACCGTGCTATCTGGGCAAACGAGATACGTTCCGAAACAAAAGTGTAGGTCTGAAAGCACCCTCAATCCAGTTTTGTTATTTAGCCTATTATTTTTATGCATCAAAGTTGCAAACTAATTTGCTGTGAGATGTAGCTGTGCTCTCAAGTGCAGTGCACGATTTAACAACTGCTGAGTGAGAAAGAGAGCATGCACGCAAGAGAGCTGGTCAAGTAACGTTGATGTAAACATCTGAAGTTGTCAAATTATTTGTGGTTCCTTTAATATTAATGATGAAGATTACAAATAATAATACTATTTATTTTATTCAATAATTTAAGTAAAACATGTAATGGGTCTACAAACAAGCTAAATATTGTCTTTAAAATTGTCATAAGTCTCAGCTATCAGCGATATCTGTCTATTGTCGATACAGGGTACTATCGTCTAGCTGCAAAACCCTACCCACAAAGAAGCAACCCAGAAAAATCCCACAGCGTTACTGACTGAACAAAAGATTTAGCTACTTCCATTGATTCAACATGACTAACAATTATATAAGCAGGGAACCATCTCACAAGAATTATTTTTGTCATTTTTAACTTTATTCGAAAGGACAGTAGGTTGACAGCAAGTAAAGTGGGAGAGAGAAAGGGGTAGGTTCAGGAAAGGTCCACGAGCCCGTATTCGAACTCTGAATGACCGGAGCATGCAGCACCTTATGTCATTACACTAGCTACTGGGCTATCGTGCTGACAGAAGGATTTATTTTATACGCTCGACTAAAGTTATGAATTGAGTTTGGAGTAAAAACATGTTATTATGTGTGGTATATGATAGCTGTGTGGTATAACCAACTTATTAACACAGTATAATCATGTTGAATTCATTAGTGTTTGATTAAACTAGTACGACTCGATAGTAAATGCTGGTCCGTATGAAAACACATGCTGGAGGTTTAATAGAACTGGCTTTACTGATGAAATGCACATGAAATTTGCCTTTAATTAATTGCCCAGCCCCACTGCTTGAAAGAAATATGCTTATGCTTGATTCACACCAAATGTGGAGCACCACAGCACTCGCTCTGGTTTTCCTGCTGAATGTTTTCCCTTTCCCTGTAACCGAGTTTTCTGGCCAAAGGTATGCACTAAAGATGGCGGTCTGGTGTCGGTTGGAGCAGATATTCAGTTCCGGATCTGGAGTCCAGTGATGTCAGTGGTGGCAGTGCAGGATCTGAACTCTTCCACTCGTCTCACAGCACAGAACGCCATGATGACCAGCCTGAGCAAGAAGAGCCTGAGGGAGATCCAGACCGACAGACTCAAACTGGGGGAACATCTCGGGGTGAGAGACGCATAACAAATATGACTTTTTTTTTTCCAAGATTAGTATTTATTTATTATTTATAATATTATAAAGTAATGCTTATTATAGATATTTAATACATCTTAAAACAGTTAAGAGGTTGATTCGATGGTTGGTACAGTGATGGTTCTCAAGTGGATTTACTGAATTTATGAGGAAGTTTGAGTAAATTATAGTTTTATTTTTTGTGCATTTCTTTTTTTTTCTACAAAGGTCTGATTTCTTTTGAAATGAAAATAGAGATGTTTCCATTTAGACGTAGAAAATGATAATTGTCCAAAATAAGAAAAGTTTTCAGTTATTTTCATTCCAAATATTAATTTATTAACTCTTCGCAGGTTAATCCTTGAATATTGTGTTTTAAATAAACTGATAAAAATATGTCTGAAAACGCTGCTTCTTTATTTTTCATGCACAACCATTAGAAGGGATGTTTTAATTTTAGATTGGGAAGAAATGTGTTTACAGAATAAACCTGAAATTATATAATGACATATTTTGCTATTAAAACATAAAACACATAAGTACATTATTTTTTTTCCATTTAAACTGCAATTATTTGATCAAAATTACAATAAAATCAGTAATAATATTAAGAGTGGCTATCAAATCAGATAATAATATTGTTAATAATAATAATAATTTCTTATATGTATATAGCCTCATTTGTAAGTCGCTTTGGATAAAAGCATCTGCTAAATGACTAAATGTAAATGTAAATATAGCGCTTTTCTAGACACTTAAAGCACTTTACACATTGGTGGGATTCTCCTTATCCACCAACTGTGAACAGCATCCATCTGCATATTACTGCGACGGCAGCCATATTGTGCCACACCACACACTAGCTGATTGGTGGATAGGAGACGAAGCCAATGAAGAGACGAAGCCAATTTTGATATGGGAATGGTTTGAGGCCATGATAGACCGAGGCCAGTGGGCAAATTTGGCCAGGATGCCGTGATTAAACCCCTACTCTTTTTCGAATAACATCCTGGGATTTTTAATCACCACAGAGAGTCAGGACCTCGGTTTAACGTCTCTATGAAAGACAACGCTCACGGTATAGTCGCCATCAATATACTGGGGCCTTAGGACCGAAACAGACCACAGGTTGAGTGCCCAATGCTGGTCTCACTAGAATCACTTCCTGCAGCAATGTGGTCTCCCATCCAGGTTCTGACTGGGTGCAGCCCTAATTAGCTTCAGTGGGCGACCATGTGAGGGTTGCAGATGTCCAAATTCAATTCATTAATTCATTCAGTTCTTGTTTTAAATCAGTGTTATAATAATAATTTTTAACAATGATAATGAGAAATTTTTCATGATTATTTCTGATGATTATGTGAAACTAGAGAAATGATGAGGAAAAATTCACTTTGAAGATATATTTAAATATAAAAATGTTACTGGTAAATTTATTTTATTATTAACAACATCGCAGTTATTTGCTGTCTTTTGGATTAAATAAATGCTGCTATGAGCTTGGGTTGCATGATACTGGAATTCAGTACCATTCGATACTGAAATTTAAAAAATGTCCATTTCCTGCTAACATTTGAGCACGTTTTTAAACAGCGCTGATTTGCCATTTTGTTCACTTGCTCAACAGAAATGACTGTGACTTTTCATGAAGGTCATCAGTACACCAAACTCACCGCTGTTTACTAGGAAAATACAGAGACACTTGAGCATTTCAAAGCCGCGGATCGCTCGTATGACAGCTTATAGACAAACCAGCTGATCGACGTGACTAAAACACTCCAGTGTCCCTGTACTTGTGGTTACACTCAGTAAACAGCAGTGAATTCGGTGAACTGATGACCTTCACAGTCATCAAGAGACCACTATTAAAACCATATTAAAAATGAAAAGTTCCAAGACATTTGTACTGTACAGTACTGTATCTGTAATTGTTGTGTGTTTCAGATGGACATGAATGAGATGACGAAGCCGTGGGGGCTAGAGGTGGACCGTGTGGAGCTGATTCTGGAGGGTGTAGTCCGAGAACCAGACGGCGGTCACTCAGGTCCCCTCATTATGCCTCCCTCCGTTCCGGGACTGGAAGGTCTCACTGGACCCATTCAGCAGCTTGCAATGCATTTCCTGAGCCAGACGACTGCATCTCAATGCACTCAAGGTGATCTACAGCAGGGGTTCAAACTTTTCAGCCCATCACCCCCAAAATTACAATCCCAGTGACTTGTGAGTCATGACCCCCAATATCCTCTGAGGTGTTTATAAATATAAAAACCCTACACACCAGCGCACATGTACCAATAGGCTTAAGTCTGTTTATCCTTTAATTTTGAAGAACGCCACTCAGAGACCATCCTCCATGTTCAGTTGTGGCCTCTATTTATGTTTACTGTACATGAGTGCTGTAAAGATGTCAGAAAGTTTAACCTAGTGCCTTAAAATCAATGTGCTTTGTCTTTATAATTACATAATTACCCCAGGGGTCCCAAATATAGAAGAGATATGGCCTCTTCTGTAGGTTATGGATAAAATATGGTAATTTTAGTAGTTTAATAAAAATGTATTTTATTTTTTCGAAATCTTCAAGCAACCCCCCATCATTGTCTTGTAACCCCCTGGGGGGTCTCGACCCTCACTTTGGGAACCACGTATTTACAGACGAGTCCTAAGCATATTCGGCAATATTCCATGCATAAGCTTTCAATTCAACCCATTTTGATTTTATTACGATTTGTTTCTCAATTCGATGAGCACAGATTTGATTCAGATGTTATTGATATGAGACTGACGATTCTCTAGGGAAGGGGCTCAGTCTAGATATTTGTATTTCCAATAGTTTTTGAAGCTTCATTGTTGTGAATCCTCTGGAGTCAGCGAAAGCACTGGAATCTTAGTGAATACATCCCTCACATGCATGAGAAATATATCTGCACAAAGCTCGAAATCCCTAATTATAAACAAACCAACTGTGCTTAAAAACACATGTTTTTGGTTTTGTAATGTTTTTTGTAACAGCTAGCTCTTTGCAACTCTTACATACTCGCCCACTGAAGCTAAGCAGGGCTGCGCCCGGTCAGTACTTGTATGGGAGACCACATGGGAAAGCTAGGTGGCTGCCGGAAGTGGTGTTAGTGAGGCCAGCAGGGGGTGGTCTATGTTTGTCCTAACGCCCCAGTATAGTCCAAGGGACTCTCCACTGCTCTGTGAGCGCTGTCTTTCGGATAAGAAGTTGTCGTTAAAAATCCCAGAATGTACTTTGAGTAGGTTTAACTCTAACCCTACCAAATTTGCCCACTGGCCTCTGTCTATCATGGCCTCCTAACCATCCTCATATCATAATTGGCTTAATCACTCTGTCTGCTTTCCACCAATCAGCTGGTATGTGGTGTGCGGTCTGGCGCAAAATGGCTGCCGTTGCGTCATCTAGGCTGATGCTGCACACTGGGGGTAGATGAGGAAATTGTGTATAGAGTGAGTGTCAAGAAAAGTAAATGGAAGGAATTGTTATTATTATTATTACTAATCTGTATAAAACGAACGTGATATACAGTCAGTCCTATCTGACCTTATAAATTTCCACCCCCATATTCAAATGCAAATCACACGACAGCAACCGCTTGAATGTCCACAAACTTGTTAAGAAAGAGGTTACTCCCATTTTGGTGTAGATCTGGTGTAGAGATATAATACATGATTAGAAATTTCAGATATCAGATATTTCCTAATTTCTAATATATACAGTTGAAGTCAGAATTATTAGCCCCCCTTTAAATTTTTTACCCTTTTTATTTTTTTTTATATTTCCTAAATTATGTTACATTATGTTATACAGAGCAAAGACATTTTCACAGTATGTCTGATGATATTTTTTGTTCTCGAGAAAGTCTTATTTGTTTTATTTTAACTAGAATAAAAGCAGTTTTGAATTTTTTAAACACCATTTTAAGCATAAAATTATTAACCTCTTTAGGCAATTTTTTTTTCGATAGTCTACAGAACAAACCATCAATATACAATAACTTGCTTAATTACCCTAAACTGCCTAGTTAACCTATCTAACCTAGTTAAGCCTTTAAATGTCACTTTAAGCTGTATAGAAGTGTCTTGATAAATATCTAGTCAAATATTATTTACTGTTATTATGGCTAAGATAAAATAAATCAGTTATTATAAATGAGTTATTAAAACTATTATGTTCAGAAAAGTGTTAAAAAAAATCTTCTCTCCGTTAAACAGAAATTGGAGAAAAAATAAACAGGGAGGCTAATAACTCAGGGGGGCTAATAATTCTGACTTCAACTGTACATCATTGAATAAAAATAAAATGTTATTATAATAATAAGTGCTATTCCACCTAGCCCAAAGGTGTCAAACTCAGTTCCTGGATGGCCGCAGCTCTGCACAGTTTAGTTCCAACCCTAATTAAACACACCTGATCTTACTAATTGAGTCTTTCAAACTTGTTTGAAACCTACAGGGGCGTGTGTTGGGCTGTGGGCCTTCAGGAACTGATTTTGACACCTCTAACCTAGCCGGTTATGTTGAAACAGGCAGTCGGGCACAATCCAGCACGGTTTTCAAACTGTACCTAGAATTCTGGACTGAGAATGGTTTATAATCATGGTCCGCTGTATCAGACTCACATGGAAACATAACTGAAACCATACCGGACTGTTCTTAAAATGATACTGTGCAATAATGGAAAATCAGCTATCGGTACATTGGTTGTTAGACTAGTAAATAAATGGGACCTCATTTATGTTTGCTTTCAGATACAGTGAGTTTCTCTGATGAGCTGCATGCGGTTTCATCTGTAAGCAGTGTGAACGAACTGATAGAAACAGTCAGATCAGTTCTCTCAGAAGAGCTGGTTCATCAGGTGGGAGCCTGTTTCCACTTTCACATCACAACTAACTCTGGACAGACCAGCAGCTACTATGTGGACCTGACACAAGGTAAGACTGAGCTTCATTATAAGAGAAAGGTGGTATTTAAAGCAAAAGGAAAGTTTACCAGTGCAAATTCAGCCTTTTACATCCTTTTTTTACTTTAGTCAAAAAACATGTGTGAAAAGCCACACTTTAGTAAATGCTGATATGTGGTGATGCTTACGTGGGTTTGAGTCTGGCTTGCAACATCTGCAACTTGTATTTATGTCTAAATACATAATAATTGTATGTCTACTTTTTACTTGTATTTTCTGCTTCAATTGTCGTTAGGAAAAAAAGGTGGTTCATGGAGTCAGTTGAATGTTGCCTCAGCATTTCTCTCTTTGTGTGTGTGTGTTCAGGTCGTGGAGCGTGTGGCGCAGGCGTTCTCCAGAGAGAGCCGGATGTTTCTCTGTGCATGAGTGAGCAGGATCTGTTGGCCATGTTTCAGGGAAGCCTGCAACCGTTTGCAGCCTACAGCAGCGGCAGACTGAGAGTACAGGGAGATCTGAACACCGCTATGAAGCTCAACACACTCATCAAACTTCTTAAGGCTAGATGACACACTTTGCATTTGCTATGGTTTTATTTAATTCAAGGCTTTTACAAAATATTTATATCAAGGTTTGCACTGCAAATGTTTACATATTTGGGTTATATATCAAATTTAAGGGATTGTTCACCCAGAATGAGTGAATTCATCACTTGCTCACCCTAAACTTAAAGTTATTTTGAAGAATGTTGGAAATCAGTTGCTATTGTCTTACAAAGTATTTTTCCCTGAATATAAATGTCAATGTGTATCAATTTACAACAATCTTCAAAATACGTTATTTTGTGTTTAAGTGAAGAAACTTAAACAAGTTTGAAAACACTTAAGGGTGAGAAAATGGTGAATAAACAGCCATTTTTGATTGTGGAAGCATACAAAGCATTTCATTTCCTTGTTTGTCAAAGTTGTTTATAAAAATGTGAAGTTTTTCAAGCATTTTAATTCATCTTAGTACACAACAGATTATTGCTAATTTTATTTATAATAATTTAATTATTGCTCATTTAATTTTCTAATAAAAATATTTACTCTATTGAGGGCCAGTGATTTCTGAATCCCTCCACACACACTTAGCAACATCCTTGAGGTTTGTGTTTGTAGGCAGATTCGCCGCCTTGTCCAAGGCTGACTGTCTCTTGACCCTTGACTTTCTCGTATGTGAGGCCCTTGGACTGTTTTTACAAAAAACTAATCAAGGTTATTCTACTATAACCACAAGTAACGTCAAAGTGCTGTTAATTCATGCATTTAAAAAGAGTGTGTAATGCCCTAGAAAAGATTAATGGCATCCAAAATAAATGTTAATTTTGATGTTTGATATTTGTGTATTACATATATATATATATATATATTGTACATTTGCAATACACACATACAGTAGTGTGAAAATGTGTTTGCCCCCTTCATGATTTCCCTTTTTTGCATGTTTGTCACACTTTAATGTTTCAGATCATTAAACGAGTAAATATTAGTTGTTAACTGCTTGGACCACCCTTAGCAGCAACTTGCAACAACTTGCCACAGTGGAATGAACCGAGCAAATGTTTTACGTGGCACACTGGGAAGAACCCATACACTCTTGCATTCACACACACACACACACACACACACACACACACTAAAGCCAATTTAGCATATTCAATTCACCTATTGCCCATGTCTTTGGACTGTGGGGGAAACCGGAGCACCTGGAAGAAACCCCACCAACATGGGGAGAACATGCAAACTCCACACAGAAATGTCAACTGACCCAGCCATGGCTCGAACCAGCGACCTTCTTGCTGTGAGGCGATCATGCTACCTCACAGTTACAAGGTCATGCCAAAACAAAATTTGGTCACACTTTATTTTGATTGTCTGTTTGTTGAATTTAAGTTACATTGCATCTACATGAAAACTAATTCTCAATAGATTATAAGTAGACTGTTAGGTTGGGGTTAGGGTTGAGGTAAGGGTTATGGACACTTGCAAAGTTTCTTAGTCAGTTAAATGTCTGTTGAAGGAGCAGTATCAACAGATATTGAAGAGTACCTATGGTGAATTATTCAAGCTTTTTTCAAGCTGTTTGGACAGACATGTGTGTAGTTATTGAGTATAGACTGTCATATTGGGGTGATATAAACACACACAGCCCTTTTTTTTTTATTTACAAAACATAAAAACGGTGGACCAATTTAAGCGTTTTTTAGATCGACCGCAAGTTGATGTAGGAGTGCGGTCCCCCCGCCCACCAATATTGATTGACAGGAGCGCATCACCATATCCTCAGTTTGTCATTTCCTGTCCGCCATATTCAACGTGTGAGTCAAGCGATGTCACTAAAGGAAAACCCTTACTCTATTTTTAGATGTAGGGCTCATTGGGCTCAGCACAAGATCAACATTCACCATATGGGAATTATTGTTTGTAACTTAGTTTGTTTGTAGGTAGGTTTGCAAACGTGTACTTTTCATTGCTTCTACCTTAAACTTCAGCCTTTGCATTTCTCGTGGTCACAGAAGCTCCCTGTGATCTTAACTTGGTGCAGCTGGAAAGTGCGAGCGCATTGCCTCACATGCATGTCTCTACATTGGAAATAAAATAATGAACTTGCCTGCAGGACGCACACCAGGAGCGTCGCGCCAAGCAGCACCATGCATTTTAGAATTGTAAACATAGGTTTCGATCAGGGTACACACAACGGTGCTTCAAGTCGGAAGCTGTCTGCAGCACCCAGCAACGATTCGGGACACTTCATATTTTTGCCACGCCTCAGAGCTCCGTCTGAATCTTTTTTTTTTTTAAATAACATCCGAATGTGCGTGTCTGGTGTGTCCGGCGCATCAGGTGTGTCAGTCAAAGTTAATAGTTAATTCAGTGTGCGTGGTTATTAGTCGCGGTGTACAAGCTCAGAACTTTAAACTAGCACACAGTTGGCTGTAAAACTATACAAAGACACAAATGATTTTGTACTCTGCTTGGTCTGTATATGAGTTGTACATGTACAGTTGAATGCTGGTCCTCTCACTCATGTTGCTTCGCTCTGTTGCCAAATTCTGAGTGGGGGAGCTCTTGGCTCCGCCCCCACGTTACGTCAAATTGACCATCAAAACAGTCTTACCCAAAATTTTATTTTTAACACGATTGATTGTGATTACCTTTTACCCATCACTCAAGACTCAGTAAATCAAATCTTTTTCCAATTTCCTGTTGACCAATTTTGTTTGATTAGTTATTTAATGTAACAGCAGACCCTTTTAGTTTTCAAACGTGCTGTTAAGTTTATTTTAGATGAAGGCCCTTTTTACTGGAACACAAACTGCTCTGGGCTGTTTCCGAAAACCATGGTTAGCCAAGTAAGGTCGCAAGTTCCGTCGTTATAAACATAGTTTGTTGGTTTGCCGTTTCCCAAATCGATCATTCTCATGAACATTCGCAAACAGCGTTGCAAACTTGTACACTTGCAACTACACCTGTAGAGCTGTAGTTAGAAACGTAGTTCCTGGCTGTGTTCTATTACCAGTTATCCCCCTCTGCCCTATTCCTTTCGAAGGTTTCAACATCAAAGTGTTTAAGTCATCTCTCTCTCAGGCGTATTTTACTTTCAAAGTATTTTTACAGCCATTTTGAACGCAGATGTGGCTCAGGTGACCTATTATTTAAAAGCGGAATTTACGTTACAGTGTAGATTGACAAATAAATTTGACCATGTTCCATTTTTACATCCTTATTCTTTCATTCATTCAATCAAGACAAACTTTGTGCAGACACACACACACAAACGACTTTGTTCGGTAGCATTTTCTACTTAGTATAGTGTCAGTAGAGGGTGCACAAGTAAAAAAAGGCCATCTTAAAATTACTAAGACCCATTACAATGCCAGTTAAATGTGACCTAATTTTGATTTTTTACTCATATGTGAGACAGATCGTATTTTTTCTATGACCGTGTAAACAGGAAAAAAACGCATGTATTCAGATACTAAGAGATTCAGGCCTCATTCATATTTTGAAATAAATCAGATATAAGACAACATGACTAGCATGTAAACAAGCAGATCGGATTTATTAAGGCATTCCGTTTTGTATGTCATTAAACTTGCAACAATGTGGAACTTCTCTGCGATTTAATGACTTTGAAGGAAGATCGTGTGTGGAGACGCTGACGTGGTAAACAACAAAGGATACATGGAGGAGGAAAGTGGTCAGTCGCTACAATTTGCTCCCACCAGACCTGAGATCTCTCTCATACCTACAAATGGTGGAGGACACCATATATAAACCATAAACACAAGCTGCTATGACGGCCCTTTCCCTCCTCCTCCAGCTCAAAAACATTTTAAAGTTGGGCGAACTTCACATATTTTGGAGAGCTAAAGGCAAGACAACTTTTTCCATCATGGCTAGTGTGGCGCAGATGCTAGAACCCACCTTTACACATGCGCGACGTCATAAAATGTGTGGCAAGTGTAAACACATGAATCAATGTGTATTGTGATATGGGTTACAAGTAAAAGAATGTGCAAGCGGACAGGCAAATTAATCAGATATAGGCAACAAAACTAATCGGAATTGGCCATCATGACCTGACAGTGTAAACGAGACCTTAGATTCACATTTAGGAAACATTGAGTTGTATTATTACAACCATTATTACACCAATAAATGTTTGCAGCATATATATATATATATATATATATATATATATATATATATATATATATATATATATATATATATATATATATATATATATATATATATATCCCAGAAATGGGTTGCAGCTGGAAGGGCATCCGCTGCGTAAAAACTTGCTGGATAAGTTGGCGGTTCGTTCCGCTGTGGCGACCCCGGATTAATAAAGGGACTAAGCCGACAAGAAAATGAATAATGCCAGTATATATATATATGTGTGTGTGTATAGCAAAAATGTTATAAAATTTACTATTACTATTTGACTATTTTAATTTTTAGATGTTTAAAAAATCCTTTTTTAATTAATACATCACAAAGAATGTTTAGTCAATGTGGTTTTCCCATGATGACCTATTTGTGAATGAATTATTCTATTTAATTGATTTTTCTTAGTCATTTGTGTTGGCAACTTCCTGCATTTTTGTATCCATTCCACTGTATAGTGTGTGTGTTTAGAAATATGGGTAGGTCCTATTGCACTTGTCTTCAGTGCTTCATTGCCCTTGACACGTACAGTGATCTGGCATATAAAAACAAAAGTCTTCTTTCAGTGGGTCTGCTAGAGGCAGAGACAGAGAGAGTGCAATGGCCCGCTGGAGTCTGTCGGCCCGTCTGGATCAGTCTGTGTCTTCACTGAAACACCTGCTGCAGGTCATAGTCACTCGCTCAGGCCGAGCACCTGCAATCGGACTGCAAGACTCCACTGTACGGCCATTCAATGAGATCCCTGGACAATGGAGGAACAGCCTGAAAAGTGTCTTTGCCTTCGCCAAAATGGGTGGCCTCAGGAATATCCACCGGATTATGGTGCACAATTTTAATACATTTGGTCCGATTTACAGGTAAACAAGACACTTTAAAAACTTTTTTTTTAAGTAATCTTTTTATTTTATTAAAATCAAGAACAAGTATTGTGTATCTCCAGTTTGTCTGCTCGAGGACTGCTTCAAAACTGTTTAACTGGGATATTCTATGACCTTTTCACTTTTATTTAGCTTCTGTCGCAACTTTTCTGAAACTTTTTGCAGTGAAATTTTAAACTTGTTCATATTTACAAAATGTGTTTACATTTGAGAGTGAAAATGGTGGAAACATTGTCTCTGGACTTTTAATTCAGTTGAATACCAGTTAAAGTGACTTAAATCTGATTTTAGGGTCTTGATTTTATAATTTGTTTCAAAAACATTCCAGCTTTTATTTATATATATATATATATATATATATATATATATATATATATATATATATATATATATATATATATATATATATATATATATCCACAGTTAAAGGCAGAATTAATAGCCACCCTGTTTATTTTTTTCCCACATTTCTGTTTAACAGAGAGATTTTTTTTAA